TATAATACAATGACATATAATTATCTATATGGGCAATATTTTCTAATAAGTTGTTTTTTCCAGCACTTGTTCCTTTTCTTTCTGTCCCATTTCGCTGCTTCAGACCTTGAATCAGAAATCTAAGAATTATGTGTAAGCAAAGAGTCAAGTAGGCACTCTGAGCTCGTATCTGGAGAGTTTAGAGTGCTGCATGAACTCTGGTTTATAGACCATGACACTCTCATTTTGGTTGTTCAATGAGGCCATTAGATTTCTTTTTCAGCTATGTTTCTAGAGAATTGAGATTGCTAGTTGACATGTACCCATGCAAACTGTTTTTGTATTCCTTCTAGATAACTACACTATATCTTAAGGTTCTATGGGGGTTTTTTTTTTGTTTTTTTTTTTCCTTTCAGTAACTGCTGAGTTTTGCTCATAAAACTTAGCTTTTCATTTCATGGTTATTAAAAAGTATTCTGCACAGATGGCCCATAAAGAAGCTAATGATGACAATTCTTCATGTACCCTTCTTTCTCTCATATAGCTTTCCTCACACCTATGATGAAGTATGAGAAGAGGAGCACAAACAGTTTCTTAATATGCAGCATACATGTTTATCCTCCTTCAAATATCACCTGGAAAATGGACAATACCACACCTGTCTCTGAAAGTAACATGGAAGAAATCAGGTCTTCGGGTCCTTCTTATATAAAAAGTACACTGGACATTACAGGATCAAATTCATCTTATGAATGTGCTATTGAAAATTCACTGCTGAAGCAAAACTGGATGGGACGATGGGCAAGGAAAGGTAGGCCCCATAGGACTTTCTGTGGACAAGTGCTATGCAGAGGTTGGGAGGTAATGAGGATTGATTTACAAGGAAAGAAAAGAAGAAAAAAAGAAAGAAAATCCATTTGTGGCAGTTAGAAGACCAAGACTGAAGTCCTAGGGGCTAATCCTTACTGGCTGTTTTACATTAAGCAATCATTTTTACTTCTCAGCATTAGTTCCTCAGTGATAAAGTAGAATACTCCCACTTTATCTTACCTTACTGAGTATTTGAGTTGAATGAAAGCATTTGTGAAACAGAAAGAATCAGATCTATCCATGATTATTACTGTATTTCTCGACAGCTCATTCTCTAAACAGGATTTTCTATCTGCTTTGCATTTTAAAAGATCAGAGGAGAAGGAAGGAGTACTTGTCTTTTAGAAGGTCACAAGCTCCAATTCTTTCCAATCTTTCAATTAAACACAAATTTAACTAATTAGTATTATTCCTTCTGTCTAATCTCTATATCCACCACCTCTATCACAGCATAATCAGTTTTTAACACTCCTTCCTCTCCTTTATTTGAACAAACCCAAACTGTGATCAATTTCTGTCTGTAAACTACTGTTCAAGAAAATATTAAGGGGCAGAAAAATTAATTTGATTTCCCTATCCAATTCCAAGGAAAAATATTGTTTTATATTAGTAACAAAGCAAAAATTTTCTTTCAATCTCCCTTATATGGGGAAAAAGGAGATTAGCTATTTTTTTTCAGCCT